TACAGGAGCAATGAAAACAACACATTCAATAGTTGTAAGTGCGGTTGGTCTTTCAAGCTTAAATAAATGCCACTTTTGCCTTAGAAAATTTTAAAAGACGCTGGCAAAAAAACAGCTGTTAAAGCATTAGCATGTAAAAAATTGCATCAAAAATAGTCAGTGAATGCATCTAAAATCTCTTTAAACAGTTCTTGGTTATGGTTAGGGTTGGATTAGAGTTAGATTGTATTAGGTTCGTCGGTGTTAAAATGATAAAGTTAGGAAGAGTTGTGTAGGGTCTTTGGATAGTGTTACGTTAGGGTTAGGTTACGGTTTTGTTTCGGTTTTGTGAAAGGTAAGTTGATTGGAGTTAAGCTACGATTAGATAAGTTGGTTAAGACTGATAAATTTAGGAAAAGTTAGCTTAGAATTAGGTTGAGTTCAGTTAGGCTAGGTAAGGCATGCTAAAGCTAGGTTAGGAATTACCAAATTAGGTTAGGAATGGTAAAGTTTGATAGGATTAGGCTAGGTTGATGTCAGAGTTGCATTTTTCTTGCTCGCGCCAATAAACCCTGGAAGGGATGAATATACTTTCGTTTTCTTCGATTTCAGATAACAAAAATTTAAAATTTTATTTTTGATTACACATTCAGTTTTAATGATTTACACTTCATATACTTAATTATAGAAAATTTGTGTATTGATTCAATTCAATTCAAAATATCGATTCGACAAAATGTGAAAGTTAGAGTGAATAAATAATTGGAACTCTTTAAACGTTCAATTATTCCGCTTGTGCCGCTTGAAATCAAATAGTTTTTTACACTATTTCCTATATTCACACACTTTACCTTTAGGAGGTATGGTTCGGGTTAGATTAAGTAAGATAGGGTTAAAATTATGGTTAGATCAGTTTAGGGTTAGGATTATACTTAGGGATTGACACCATGAAATAGAGAGAACACGATTTAACTACACCACTAGAAAGTTGTGTCTTTTCAGTCCAGTTGTTTATAAATAAATCGATCAATAAAGATTGTTTTAAATATACATTTTGCGTGATGTTGATAAAAATAATATTATTTTTTTCTCAATAATTTAAAATATCATTGATTTTTATATATGTACATGTCTGTACAATTAATAACTTATCAATCCAAACTAGATGGGGTTGTTTACCAGTAATTTTCGAAGTAAGTGGCCACATCCTGCCTTTACCTTGATTTGTGCGATTTCATTGGACCCTGACTATCAATCTCGATCATCTCCCCATCCAAAAAGAAAAGACTTCGGCCGTTTGAGAAATTAACTAGAAATAACAAGTTGTGAGGTAGGTCCCGTGTTAACGAGGCCATTTCAAGAGCCACTACAACAGTTAGTTGTATAAAATTGGCCGAATGAAGCCCGAATGCGTTTGTATTATTCTGTATGAATTAGGCAAGGGCGGGGCGGCTCAGGCTATTTGTTCTGCCGAGTCACATTCACATTTATACATTTGTAATGCTAATTAACACAACTAGTCTTGTGATATTAGGGGAGTCAGAAGGACTGGGGGGGCGACTGGTAATGAAGAGTAATTTCCATGTCTTGGATTAGCACAAGGTACCGCCGAGTAATATCCCTTACCATAAACTCTCCTCTCAGACAGACTTTTTATATTATTTTTTCTTCGATTCATTCAATATATCTGCTTAGCTGTATAATCAACGGAAAAACTATGTTTGACATATGACTTTTTATTTAACTGTCGGTAAACCTTCAGCACTTAACACTAGTAGAAATGAAATATTTGGCACGAATAGAAAATTTACATATATATATATATATATATATATATATGGCACCTCCTTGACATAATCCTTAAGTGTGAGGGCTAGGGGTAGGAATAAAAGAGGTGACCATAAGGCTTTCTGCACCTTGCGACTTGAGGTCTATTGTGCTTCTGTCAATGGCCAGTTTCATGTTGTTAATCAACCTTTATACAATTCATGTCGGCTCCTTTTTTAGCTAGCAAGACCATTTTCTCATTCCCCCGGCTGATCCTATATTCGACCTTGTAATTGATTGTATTTAATGAGGTTCTGGTCAGATTCTCTGGTCATTTTGTCGCCCAGTTGAACCCGAAATTCCTTTGTAACATGGCACTCGAGATATTTTTATTATTGATTTTCATCTCTGGTTGATCGTATGAGGATTTTTAATTAAGTAGTTCCCTGTCGAGTTTAAATATTAATATTTCATGGTTGTATAGACCAACCCGGTTCCTTCTCTGATTTTGGAACCATGTTTATACTATGTTGTATCGGTTTTACTCTTGATCACTTCTTTCTTTTTATAATCAGTTTAAAACACTGTAGGATGTCACAAGAGATGTTTCCGGGGTTCACTGTTCCATTGTCTTTATGTCGCTAACACCCAGGGACTCATGCCAGAGTCAGGTCATTGGTATCACTGACTTGTGCCAGGGATTCCATAATTCCATAGCCTATTTGCCTTTTTTCTCGTATGAGACTAAAGCCTTAAGTTAAGTCAGAGAAAAAGGCGATTTTCCTGAAAAATGTGATTTCAGATGGAAAAACTATAGAGTATTGACGTAAATATGAATTCAGTTCGGTCTTCAGATTCATCCAGACAAATCCAGTTTCCGTGCCTCTATCTTGATTGAGTATATTGACTACCAGAGGTATTCCTTTGGCCTACTCATTCCACTCTGGTATAAGTACTTCGTACTTGTAGGTGAAGTTGTAGTTTAGCGTGATGGCGTCGATTGGCATGCCTAGTATTGCATTTGCCTGTCTCCTCCTTCAGGTGCCGGTTTGTTGACATGGCTTATACTTGACGATTTGCATATGGTTATCCAATATGAGTCTGTGAGCCGGTGCTCAGGCTTCTCCTTGAATTAAGATATGGAGGGGTGGAAGGTTTAACAAGCCCTCTTAGTTCGCAGTTGGCGTTGTTCTCTTGGTGCCAGTGACAGTAAGGCAAGCTGATCGCTTTATCCTGCCTTCGTCCACCACACCACCAACCCATATGTCAACGTTGATCTAATGACATAAATGGTATAAAGCCATAGAGTAATTTGTGGTTTAATCACCAGATTTTAGCAAACAGCCTTCTGCACCTTCTGCAGGCAATTTTGGCTATTTGGATAGTTTTAATTTGATGTGGATTCCACGTGAGCCGATGGTCTAGAATTCCCCATAGATGTTACGAGTGAAACTAGTGGTCTACTAACTGAAAACGTGGAGGCAGCGTCAGAGATGAACATTAAGTACATTGTAGAAAAAAACCAGTTATTATAAGATTAACTAGTAAACTAGTGATGATAAAGAACTTTTAAAATCGATTCATTTTTAGGTATTGTTTGTACATAAGCATATTATTGTATATTGTAAAACTAAATCTATAAATAAATTAACCTTTTTTAGGAATACCATCTATGATGCGAGAGGATTTTTTTCGCCGCTTGTGGGAGACCGATGGAGTTCTTTCTGCGAGTCGATTTGAAAAATTACGTGTTTCGAGTCAAACGACACCAATTATTATCGCTTGAAGACCTCAAAGGGAGAATAAATGGCGTATGAGGTGATATTCCGATTCCATTCGCTCGATGTGGTCGGGTTTTAAAAATGAATCCGTCGTTCAAAGGCATAGGAACGACAAGACGGTAAATAAGAGACAGATTACGAATAAAATTTATGGAAATGACAAAAAATCAAACTACGCGACTCACTTCGGACCCTCAACAATATAGACAAGCGTGAAACTACTCAACTGCGTACAAAAGGACGAAAAATGTGCGTATTACCGACAGACACACATATTAACAAAAGACCACATCATTTCCATCATTCAAATGAAAAGGCCTAGGATCAAAAAAAACCGACACCCTTTCACAACTTTATAAAATATTCTTGACCCCAAAAGAATCACCTTAGAATCACTGAAGACCACGGGAAGTCGAAATTTTATGACATTCACACAGATTGTGATAGAATGACAGATTCTGACGAAGAGTCGGAAGTGACTGAACGAATAAAACGATGTTTCAAACCGCATACGTAAAGCAACCACTGTTAAGCATCGGCTATAGTCGAAGACATGAGAACCGGACACGCAGATTTTTATTCAAACTACACGTATTATTGTCGTTAATTACAACATATTTATTTTAATATAAATCAAATTAACCGAGTTCAAAAATTCGTTGGTTGTTATTTAAAAAATAATAATTTTAATGGATTGGTAAAAAATTGATCAAAACACCGGAATACCATTTTTTGATATAATGAATTTAACTAACAATTTATTACACGGTTTTACTTATAAAATCATAAAATTTAACTAACAATTTATTTCATGGTTTTGCTCATAAAATTACACTATTTTCGTCGAGTAATGTCAGAACAGGGCACTCAGATTTTGTAGTTTATTTCAAACTATGTATATGTAATTTTGTCGTTATATTAATTACAACGTTCTTATTTTATGATTATTCAGAAATCGTGAGATGCGGTCTGGTGTGATGTAGGTTTCAGAAAAACATTTTCTTTATCGTGCCAACGTTTCGATCTTTATTGAGATCATCTTCATGGCCTTCGTCTAACGGTCACTAATCACCACACATTCTTATATTAATATAAACCAAATTAAACGACATCAAAAATTCACGAGTTTTTATAAAAATTATTTAATTATGATAGTTAGGCAGAAAAATTATCAAAACACCGGAATAACTTTAATTAAAACAATTAAATTTCACTGAAAATTTAGTACATGATTGTGCTCATAAAATTAATAAAAATACATAAAAATCACGGCGTATGTACATACTGCAAATAAATTTACAAAAATAGTTGAACATTTTGAGATTTCTTCTTCAGTTTTGCGGAGTGACTGATGTACAGCTTGGATGTGTCCACCTGTACTCGTTTGAAACGACCTGCTAAATTCTTCATTTTTATATATGTGTTTCTTTCGACTTGCTCGGTGATGATTAATTTTTGTCTACATGTTTGCAGCTTGGACAGTCGGGGGAAGGTGTCTGAAATGGGTAGCCACTGGAAAGACAAAGATGTCTTGGAGGAGAGGTCATACTTCCGCACGGTGACTGAACCGGCCACACTTTCCATCGACAATGTGCAAGAGTCGGACGAGGCCACATACAGGTGCAGAGTGGATTTCAAGACATCCCCGACTCGGAATTACAGGGTCAAACTAAGCGTTATCGGTAAGTGTTTTCATTACAGATGACAATTAATTAACAGTTACAGGACGAGATACATTACTACACTCATAGATTAGGCGGTCGAGGGTTCGATTCCTACAGTCGCCTCTTGCATATCTGACCGATTTCTGAGCTCATCGATTCACATTCTAGCTTGAAATTAAGAAGAAGTAAGGGAAGGTTCGTGCGAGATAGATAAAAAAGCAGCCTATCGCACTGCGTCTATCAAAATTATTATATTTCGCGTGCTGGTTTCAGCTCACTACTGTCAATTATATGCATATTCAATTGATAATTTCAGCAAATACGCCTGTATTTCTATTTCTGAGTGTATTCAATTTACAAGGGAAAGTACTTAGTTCGTTGGTCAATATGTTAACTTGAAATGAGGAGAAATTAGACCAGCTTAGCATAACGTGGCTATCATAGCCTGTTGCACTGCGTCCATTAAATGTGGCTATTGCGATCCACGCAGATGTCGAAATGGGAGTATTTCGATCCTCCAGTAACTATCTGAAGCATTTCATACTCCACCTTAAGCTTGATAGTAGCTCCTCTGTTATACTTAGTGAATTTAGCTTTTCCTTGTTCTTCAGAAGAAACCTTTTACATGTCTAGCATTCACACACATTTAAATGAAATGAGTTTGCCTATTGTCCTTAGAATGAACTTTTAAAAATTGTTTCCTTCCATCCCTCGTTTTATGTGATCATTGAGTGCGCAATGCCCTGTTTTATGCGAGACTAGTTTAATCATGTCTATTGCCTGTTTTGAGCTGGATGTCCATCCAAATTTACATGGCGGTTTGGAATTTCACAGAAGAGATCTGGCCCTATTCTGCTGAGGATCCCCTTCTGGCTAGTCTCTTCGTTGCCCTTCCCTCCAGTCGGTCCTGAGAACCAGACAAAATTTTGCTCTCTATTCTTACTTCACTCCGGTAGCTCCGAAGAGTCTGGGCTCAGCTTGATGTAAGAGTAGATAATAATTGGCCCTTTTATCCCTGGCTACGTTGGGCATCTAACCAAAAACCAAAAAATTTAAGAATAAACCTTGCAATCTGAGTACAACTGTAAGAGTTAATCAACATGGATTTTCTACATTTTACTTGTTTCCTATAAAGCTGGATGTTTGTAAGCAGATTTTGAGATTGGTATGGTGTGATTTAGAAGCCGTGGTTTTGTGTTAACTAAGCACTGCATTGTTTTGGTTTACTGCACTTTTCCTTGTTTATTTGTTCAGTTAATAGACTCGATCCGTTTTTAAGGAAGTGATAGATCATTGACTTTCATTGCTTGGGTTACTTTTCCAGGATCGTCTTATCGACTTTAGGATATTTCTCTTTGAGCGTCAGATTAGATAGCAATTAAGGACAGTAATTATTGAAATTGTGTACACGTGTGATTCCATCGGAGGGACTAGGTCCGTTTGTGCAATGAGGCGATTTAACCGGACACAGATTATCGATGTGCAGCTTCAATCCGGTGAATGTGAAGATAAAAAACCCGACTTTATTTGGAGTTTCCGGCTCTTTCCGCGTGCCTACTCGTCCGGGAGACAAATCTACACTCGAGTAGATTCCTTCATCTTTTGAAAGGAAGCCGGGAACCTATTTGGCAGCGACTTTCCAGTAGCCCCCACTCATCGTGAATTATGGAACGTGTAGGTGATACCGGGTTTCCACACCATCGGAGATCTCTCCCGTGTCACGCTCTCCGCGAAGCTATTTAGCCCTAACGTCAATCCATTTCGGCCTTTGTCACCGAGCCAACGGCAGTAAATCCTCGCCCCGGCCTAAAATTTAAACCGAAAATTGCCGGCACACTCGACGGACGGTCGCTCGGTTTTATCCATTCCCGTACCCTCTCTTATTTCATTTTCAAATTGCTAACACCCTCGTGACATATTCGACCTCATATTCCTTTTATTACCATGCGTAGATACTCGTGTCGGTCGCCTTTTCCATTCCACATGTAACATTTGATGCACGCCCCGGACTTCAACTTTCCACTCTAATTTATAAACCTCTAGGAATACTTCATTTCTATTGTAATAAATCCTTACAAGGACAATTAAAAAACATTTTTTTATTAAAATTATATATCGAGATGTTGTATATTATATACAACTAGTGGTCTTTTGGAGGGAACATCTTCTTTCTATATTGGGAATCATGAAACGATATGATTTATGAAAACGGATTGCGAATAGAGAGTCGATAACAAACAAACTGTAACATTGTCAGCCGTTCACGATCGTTTTATATTCTCATTACGTTATGGGTCTTTTGGAGTCCCATCCTAGGTAACCACACGGATAGGTCAGTGGGTACAACATGGGGTCACAATGAGGACTTAAAACAGAAATTTACTTTGGACCGCTTTGCCGAGAGTTAACAACGATTTTTGGATGATCTGGCAGTTTTCCTGAAGAATATAAAACACGAGCAATTTCTTCAGCAGTAGATTTGTTAAATAAACGCACTTCCATCGGTACACTTTTTACAAAAGCAAGTTTAAGTTATATCTTTCGTCTTTTATTGTTTTAGCGACAGTCCTATATGCTTCAGCGTAAAGAATTTTACCCAAAATACCGCTAAGTGCTGTCAAAACTACGCGGTCTTTTTTTTATTTTCCGGGCGTCCTGAACGCACATCCACAGCCTTGGAGGAGTCTATAAAATATAATCTTAACTCTCACTTGGCAACAAATACGAACAAATAGATCGGTGGATATGTCTTACTTCAAAACAATATGGTCCAACTCCTGAAATTTTTTCTTGTGGCAAAAAAACCGGAAAATAACATTGCCGTATATCGTTCATAAAATTTGGACAATTAAGAAATAGTTCCGTTAAATTCACACTGATTTATGGTTCTGGGTGTAAAATAAGGCCATTGTGGCAGCAGGAGTTAAAATTGTCACTGGTTTTCTCACCCTCAAAATATTGAATAATTGAACCTAAGCTGTGCTCGGGTGCGAAGTTTTCGTTCAAGATATTTTTTTTTAATATTCTAAATCTAAAATCTGCCCTCATTGGGTGGGCGGCCATTGATGCCGGTGATTATTCATTCCAGCTATCAAAGTGTTAAGGCTTATGGTTGGTATAACAAAATACAATATAAAAATTAATACAAAATAAATAAATACATCAATATAATGCCAAAAAAAAACAATAGAATTATGTGGTTAGTCATAGCCCACTTATTAATACAACAAAAAATGCTGCTCAATTGAAAAAAATACAACAATCAGAAAAATATAATACGCAAAAACACAACAATATTACCACTGAAAAGTACTATTTTTTAGTACTAAAATATGCTGTTTTTTATTACTGAAAACTACTGTAACTGTATCTGCAAGGCGGAAAGATCTTCACAACGGCCGAGGGATGACATACGAATTTTGAATTCCAGCGCCGGCCGCCACCACTCTTCCAGCATACTATAATTGTTCATTTATCGTCCTCACGATTAATAATTTATAAATTTGAAAACGTTCCGAATAAATTTGAGGTCAAGGACGAAAATCGTGGATCGGTTCGACTGTAATTTTGATCGGTATTTCGGGCGTTCATAATTATATATAAAGATTTGTCCCGTTTAGTACGTTTCAACAGCAAAAATTTATTGCCCACATTTCCAAACTTCTGAGTGCAGTGTTTTTTATTTCCTGAAAAATTACTTTCTGGAAATAGTCGGTTGGTGAAAAGCCACATTTAAAATAAAAATAGTCAGCCTCACTCATCTTTCATATTATCAGCCTTGTGAACTTAAAAAACGCTGAAAGCAGAAACTGATTAAGAAACTTGGATTTTTTCCATTTAACACAAACATAAGTTAATAAAGAGCAGGGCGATGCGGGATTTATATTATAAGAGAAATTAAAAAAAACATTCTTGACAAAAATACCGGATTGACTGAAATAATAAAATTTTAAATGGAAACAATAAACTTAAAAGATTGAAAATCGGCGATCTAGTTATTTTAATCCCTACAAGTGTATTCCAATCAATATCTCTTTCGATGTTGAATTCATTTTTTCAAAATACAATTTTTTATCAGCTATGTAGTTTTAAAGAAACTAACTTTGCAAGGTATCTTATTGTCAATTTTGATTCAAATTGAACATAATAAAACCTAATCATCTATTTTGTAAATATATTTAGTTTTATGATTTTGTATAACAGATTTTTCTTTCTGTTTCCTTTAAAAAAAAGAATATCTACTAGATAAAAAGTGTAGGATAAAAAAAGTTAATTATTAGTCGGGTCTGCACTCATGCTGCGTATTTTAATATTTTAGTGCAAATTATACTGTGAGGATCGTTGGAAAAAATAAAACAAACAGTAGTTGAAGAGGGGGGGGTACCGGAGTACTGGGAGTACAATCCACACAAAAAGAGATAGTGGAGATTGAGTCCTGTCCGGTACCGGAGTAAAAAATTACAGTGTTGAAATATTAAAAATATCAATAGACAAGATCTCGTCTCTTTCCTATTATTTACAAGGTATTTCTTTTATTGCGTTTAAAGTAAGGACATTATTATTTTGTTCGGATAAAAGATTATTATTTTGTTTTTTGTAAAAGGTTTTTAGTTGTATTATGAAATTATGTTATTTTAATATTATTTTTATCTGTCTTATAATATTATTATTATCATCCTATTGTCTCTGCATCGGCCTGACAATATAACATATTTGAAGAGTTTTTAGCGCACGTAATATTGTAAATTTGTGGTTTTATTAGTACATATTACATCACATATTTGAGGATTTATATTATTTAAATCCGGGCTCTAATCATAAAACACGAAACTACAAACAGGACAACCTATATACTAAACCCGCAAGACCTGTGAGTGTTGCAGAAGTGTTGGTCTTGCGCTCCAGGTCTGATTTACTGACAATTCACAATGATGCCATTAACAAACATACACTCAATGACAAAATAAACCAGACCCTCGCATTATCGTTATCTTAATTGTTACAACATACTTATTTTA